CTGAGGTTAAGTAATAAACAAGAATGTGAAACTGTGTCTGAAGTGACAAATATATTTCCCTGGATGGGGACCATTCTATCAAATAAGTTCTCTCCTTCATAAAGATATGAATATTTAGAGTAAGAGTTGCATGTGCAATACAGCAATACAGTTTTGGGAGAAGTGGAAGGAGGAAACTAATTTTTTACTTTGCTGGGCAAGAATAAATTTGCCTCTAATGCTCGTGAGATGTATACTTAAAATACAAGAAGCTTAAATAAAATGGGAATGGGAACTCACACAGGGAGAGGCCCATTAACCATGAAAGCTCAAAGGAGAGAAGTCACTTGACAGTGGAGGCAGAACCTGTATCTATGAACTATGAAAAACCAGAATCTCTGAGGGTGAGTTTTAATTTGTGTAGGGTTGAGATGTCAAGTAAGCATTAAAATTTTTCAGTTGATAAACGTAATGTACTTTATAAGGCTTCCAAGATATCTGATCATAATATCTGTCTCCGTTTCTTTGGTTGTGAGAATATCCCACTGAATCATTAGAAAATATCTTCCTTTATTCTTCTCTGCAGACCACCAATTAAATTTTTAGAAGCATATTGCATTAATTAGAATTTTGTTTTCATCTCATATTCATGTGGTGCGTTTCCTGTGTTTCTTCTCAGGCACAAAAAGTGAATAGCAGTGTTGCCTTTTTCATTGTTGTAAACCTTTCTAAACTTATATACAAGTTTTGATGTTTTCAAAGCAAAACTGATGGACAGGGTTGCAAGAGAAATCAAATGTGGTTCTAATATGTAGGTGGCACAAATAAAAAACTGTACATAATTTATTGAAAAGTTATCAAAGCTGAGAAAGGTAAATCCGGTTGAAAAGCAATGCTGTAAAATCTACGTAAAAAATAAAAAATATAGCTAAATGTAGTGCCACTGATTTTTAAGAGTGCTTTACTTATTTTATGTACACTGTTTTTCAGATGTGTCCAAGTTTCAATACCTCTGCTCCCTATGTGAAGAATAAGAAAGGACAGATTTTGTATAATCTTTCAGGGTTCCTTGTGGAAGAATATTTAGTGAGGCCTTCCAACAAAACAAGGTAACCTTAAAATATCTAACCTTTGTTTATCCTTTATGTATTAAAAACACAGTCCTTCCTGACCCAAAGCATAGACCTATGTCACTGAGAATATAAGGGGTAGTTGCCTTTATCTGTTGGTTGTTATCAAGGCATAGAGTTGGGACAAGGTAATGTGGAACCCCCTCCATGGTCACTTTTCAGAGTTTCCTCCAGCAGTTGCATGATAATTGCCTCTAAGCATACCCTGGCTCGTCTTGCCACAGAGCGAGTTATTTCAGCACCTCAGAGAAAAAAAAAAAAGTATATGCATATGCAAATCAGATGAACAATATAGTTTCCATTCCTCAGAGACTCAATCAAATAGAGATGGATATGCTCCAATTAAACTTTTCTTTGAACTAAAAGGGCTGGTATCCCCCTAGCAAGACTTCATATTCTGTGATACCAGCCACAGAGGTTATAATCTGCTGTGTTTTGAGGTTTACTTACGTGCCTCTACAGCTTAACCACTGTCTTTGACATAAGTACAAATACTCCACCACGTATGATTTTTTCAAGGAGAAGAAAGTGTTAGCCATTTACACATTTTAAAAAAAAAGTGTATCTGATTTGATAAAAATAGAGGTAAACATCTTAGGATGAAAGATTTGAGCTAGAATATGAATGGAGCAGGAAGAAATCAAGCTGTTTAAGATGCTTCTGAAAGTCAGTAATACCTCACTTGCTCACAAACCCTCCTGTTGCTCAGGGATTTCAGCTTTCAGAAAGTAAAAATTCTTATCTGAGGGAATCCCTTTGCCAGAAAACAGCAATAATGTTCACCTGATTCAAGAGTATATTGAGCTCCTCCTTTTTAACAGAGAAGGGGTTTGTGAGGGGTGAAGTTTTACTTTCAGTTGAAAAATAAAGCATTAATGTAGATATTACCACTTTATCATTGCAAGAAAAGACTGCTAAGCTTAAGGTAGGTAACTTGTTATTACTTTATTTTCTATTACCAGATATGGTGGTTGGTCTTTTGGAGAGAGGAAAACATTTGTACTTCAAGATAAAAAATTGAATAACACCAAATCTAAGCCTCTGGCTAAGGTAAGGGTTGCATGTATGTGAGCACATTTGTATGCGTGTGTTGCTTACTTATTCAGGCTCCAGACTTCACAGTACTTAGAAAATAATAAATAATTACATACAATCCTTGCATTTAGAAATTGGGAGAAAAACCCTCTGTCTATTACAGTCCACTTCTCTGTTCATAATTCTTGAAGTATTCTCCTGTGTTCTGAGAAGCAGATTTAAATGAGTCAAATGATACGGCTTTTGTTGTTTTTTCCTGTGAACTTATTTCAGAGTCTAACTGAGCTCACCTTTAAAACTTCTTTTTAGGTAGTCAGCCCAGATATTCCTTTTTTTTTTTTTCCCCTACAAAAAGTCAATGTCAGAATTGACAAAAGTTCATTGAACGTCTCAAAAATGAGTTATTATTGATGCTTTTTTCATTTCTGCAAGGAATACTTTGCTACATTTTTCTCTTTCTCCTCCCTCTCTCCCTACCCCCCCCAAAAAAAGGGGAAAAAAAGTAAAGATTTATCTTCTAAGAGTAGCTACTTCTGTGTAACAAATATGCTACCCTGTGTTTATAATCCCCTTTTCAAATATGAGTAACTTCCCATTTTTATCCCAGAGTGTGCTGGGATACACAGAAGTGTGCCTTGCTGAAATTAGTCAGGTTGTGAAATCTGAATCTCTTCTTGACAGTAGATAGTACTGTCTGGCAATGCTACACAGAGCCAGTGTTTTCTGTCTGAAGCTACCTCTGAAGTCAGGAAAAGGATTATTCTAAGCACAATTGAAATAATGAGCTTTTACTTGAGGCTTTTTGGTATGCACTGGAAGGATACAGTATCTCCATACTGTGAAAACTTGGGATGGGACCTAGAAGCTGACAGGCAATTATCAGTGCAAGGGATTTTATTTTCCTTGGGAATGCTTTGAAAGGTTCTTTTAAGATCCACTCAAATGTAGACCAGTAATGAGTAGAGGAACAGCAGTCTTGGAGGAGTATTGAAGAATATCAGTGAGTGGTTTCTATTTTTATATTTGAGGCAAAAGATATGTTAAGAAGAAGCTGTGGACTTTCCAGATTCCAGATTAGAATATGAAAGAAAGATGCTTCTGCCTTTAAATTGTTTTGTGGGAGTATAGAAACTAGATTTTATTTGCTTTTATAAAGGAAGAAGAGAAGGAACAGTGTAAACGAGCTCTATCCCAAAATCAATTTTGGGACAAAGTGTTAAAACCACCATGTGTTAAAACAACATACAGATATTCTCCAATCCAATATTATTTCACGTTTAGTGTTGCAAAATCACTGCCTGTTTGCAATGCCTTTTCCATGTAGTTTTGTTAAAAATGTCTCTATCTTATATACACACCCTACCTTATACATATTTTCATTTTGGTCATTTGTGATCTCCCTTCTACCCCCAGATTTCTTATAGCTTTGAACTCCAGTTCCATCAATCCTTCATTAGGAACTTGAAGTCCTAGAGGATTGCAATAAAATGTGTTTTTCTGACTGCTGTTTTTGTCCTATGTATCTTTAATCATTTTAGACTTGTTTTGACATGCCTGGACTGTGGTTTTTGTCAGGATCCTTTAGTTTTAAATGTCTTTGGCATAGAGCTCCACCTGCCATCAGCAAAGGGACAAATTATAGTTATACTGTTAGTGAGTAAGCTTCGTATTTCAGACCCAAAGAAAATAGTGGAGTAGATTTATAAAGGGCACTGTGTTATCTAAAATACCTCCTGGAAGTGGCTTTCAACTGATGCAATGTCAAATTATTGCATTAACCTTTCAGTAATTAATGACCAGACTTTTACTTTGACCTTTCAAGCTTGTTCATGAGACAGTGAATGTACCATTTACATAGCCTTGTATGGAAGAAAATGAGAAATTTGCATTTGAAGAGACTTACTGTATGATTTATTTAATTTTGGAAAATTTCTGAATCTTATACGTCATTCTCCTCCACTCAAAAAGCCAACAATTTTTCCAGTTCAAATTAAAAATACCTCTTCGATACCTATTTTACTTTACCTAATCATACCATGCTGTATATACCGCATACATGCTATATGCATGCACACAGAGAATGTGTATGTCTGCATGCACGAGAGAGGGTGTATCTACCACATGACAAACATGGCTGATTAAAACCATCGATTATTGACATTCATTGATGATCACTGCTACGTGGCAAAAGCACAACTTGTCCTCAAATTTTTTGTGTTTTCATGACTGTATATTCTTTGGTTTCCTTTGATAACGTGGGCAAAAAGTGTTCCATAATGATTTCATAGTTGCTGTTGTTTACAACATAATTAAATATAGGAAGAACATGTGGTAATTTTAATTAGTCCTGAAAGGCAGTTTGTACAGTTTATGTAGCATTCTGAAGTGTGCATTTTTCCAATCTCAAAGGTTGGGATTTGAGACTTTAGTGTACAGTACAGTATAAGTGTCCAGAAGAAGTTACATCTCTCCAGTCTAATACCCCTTCTCTCTGCTTCCCCATCATGAATCTGGTCCAGCAATGCTTAGGGATTTCTCTGCCCCTCCTCACCCTTTTTTCTTGATAGGCCATAGGTTAGTGAAAATGTCAGTCTAGCATTATTCTGGCATATTAATGGCAGGTAAAAATGATACGGAATAATGGAAAACACATCTTTACAGAACTTATATCTAATGTAGTGAGGGGCTGTGTTTTTCCTTGGAAAGGAATTTTATCAACCATGGATAGAAGATAAAAAAATGAAAATAAAAACTAATCATCTTAATCTATATATTTTTCCATTGCTCATCTCTTTTCTGCCCTCTGTAAATAATTACCTGTGTGGCACACAGGAAATATGAAAGATATTTCATTTGGAACGAATATTTTTCCTTTTTTATATTTTACCTTTGCAATCAGTTTAGAATAAGCCACAAGACTTTAGGAAAAAAACCTTAAATGTGTCTTCTGATGAAGTGAACAGCCTCAAATGTCTCTTTTGCCAGATTATAAACAATTAAATATCCAGCTTCAATTTGGTTATTTCCTGGTGGTTTGATTCAGTTACATAATGTAGCTTGAAGGCAGAATTCTAATTAATGTGTGGGATATTGAAATGTATTGTTACACACAATGCTCTATTGTGTTTTTTTGTATTTTTATTTGAATATTGGTCGCATTATTATATTTCTAAGGTGTTCTGTGAACACTTGAGACCTTTCCCCTGTTTCAATTAAATGAGGATGTGTCATCAGAATTTTGCTTTATTATTTTCTTAATTGCCTTTTTTTTTAATACAATGAACACAATTGCAGTGGAGTTTCATTATGTATGTATAACTTTCTATTTGGCACAAATCTTTTTTAAAAAGATGGAATAAGAAATGGGTGTGTGTGGGTGTGAAAAAGACTGGCTACCCTTGATCACTTGCTTATGTTTCTTTGCTCTGGTTGTTATTCGCAGAGGAGATCCAGCAGTGCAAAGATTTGCAGTTTTCCTCAGGACACTTAGGTTCTAGTTCACTTCATTTCTTTAAAGAACTCTCTTGTTGATGAAAGAATGGGAGATCTAGTTTGTGTACTAATTTGTGGGAATTGAACTGGAGGAGATCAAAGGAGTTGCATATGAGTTTGCAAAGGGGGAAAGAGTTTGGGATTTGTTCTTTTTTCTTTTCTTTAAACATGGGGACATAAGATGCTGTTGAAATTCCAAGCAGTTGTGAAGACCCCATAAAGAAGAGTAGAAAATGTGAAAGCTAATGCAAGCAAGAGCAGTGGTAGATCAAAGCTGCTCATTTTTTAATTGCTGACTAACAGAGCTTATGCCAAAGAAGATTCAAGGGTGAGCGGCATAGGAGAAATTGTAGTGGAGCTCAGAGTGGTGTTTGGAAACATGATATGGGATAGATGGGAGGAAACTGAATGGACAATTAGAGTGTTGTAAATCTTGTCTCACAACAGAGTATAGTGTGGAGATCCAAACAAGTAGGCAGTGAGGAAAATAAATCAGAAGAAAATAATTATTAAGAGAGGGAAATAGAACTGAAGATTAGGCAACCTGCACTGAGAAACAGAGAGAAGAACGTGGCAGGAAAAACAGTCAAAGCCTGGAACAAGTGTCCAAGTAAGGTTTGTAGCTGCATACTACAAGAAAGAAAAAACAGAATTATCTGCAAGTAAATAAAAAAAATAATCTAGAAGTTTACACCAGTATCAAGAAGAGGCACATATGTATGGAAGAGCACTAGAGGAGAACAGCATCAGAGTGGTGAGAAAAGAATCTTTAGGGAATTTTCCAAGATGTAACTGTACAGATGGTAATTTTAGAAAGGATCTAAGAAAACTGAAATCCTAGAAGAAGGCAAGAAAGACCTATGTTAAAAACTGTGCACTTTGCAGTATGATTCAGAATCCAGATACAAAGTGAGAATTGCCCAGCATCAACCTGAGATGTACAAAATGCAGATTAGCAAATAGCTCATATCAAATAGGGAAAGGTTAAGAGTTTTTCAACTGTATAAACAAAAGGGGACATGAAGGGTTGCTGTGGAGTGAGGAATAGATAGTAATCAAAGATTATTTTAAACATGTAAATAAAACTGAAAACAAACATACATAATAATTTGACCTAGTTTTCAGTATGGATAATGTGGGTTCAAAGGCACTATGATTAACATAACGAGGCATAGAAATGGAATTGATTTCCAAAGGCAAAGCAAAACTCAAACCTCAGTATATTTGGTTTTGGGACATATCAGGCGCTCAGCAATGATTCTAGCACATGGAAGTGTGAATTTTGAGTATATTTATCAAGTCAGGGTGATTCTGCATGGTTTGAGGATAAAGTATATGTTACAGCACAATTGCTCCCCTGTGCTCCTCAGAGGGACTGGCTTGCCTCATCTGCCTTAAAGTTTGTCTGTATTAATTTCCTCTTTGCTTAACAAATCACTGATAATTGCTTGTTGAAGGTGGAGATGCAGCTTTGTCTTTTATGGAATAGTTTCATACTCACCTTGTAAACAGTGCCTCCTTGATTCTTTCTTTCCCCACTTTCTACAATATCCTGTTCCTAGACATTTTATGCTGTGTGTCACTTGCAGGTATTATTTAGATACGTATTTTTGGAATTTCAATAATATTCTCCACTTGTAACACTAGTTTTACTCATCTATTTGTATTTTCAATTAAATTGGCAAATGTTATTTTGGCATTGTTTTTCCTCTATTTGTTCTACCAAATGTGTGTAAAGGAAGGGACACAGTGTTCCATTAAATCACAGAATCTCAATTTAATAATTAACATAGGTGTACAGCTCCAACAGTAGAAAACAAACTGCTGCAATCTGTTGAAAGACCTATACAAATTAACTGATTCTGTTCTGCCTAGTTCACCTTCTTCTATAAATAGGTGTCACAACAGGCGAATTAGATATCTTTATGCAATTCTTCATGGTATGGGAGCTTTCAGATCAGCGTTCAGATTCAACTCATTTTTGATTCATCATTTTCATTCTCTCTTCCAGGTGTGGTACAACCAAAAAGGTTTCCATTCGCTGCCATCCTACTTAAATGAACTCAATAACTTCATTCTGTGGCTGAATTTGCCTCCTAATGTGGATTGGAGACAGTATGGTAATAGTCCTTCTTTAAGTCTTTTTTCATATCTTTTGAAAAGTAGTTTTTAAATAAATAATTTTAAGTATGAAAATTTTTCATAATATAAAGTAAGATTGCAGAGTCAAACATTTCTTGGGAGGATTTGAAAGTGGAACTTTTAATTAAACAGGAGGTTTCTTTGTGTGAAGAATGTAGTACACAATAAGGTAAAATTTGGATTTACAGCTCACTATGCCATATGAGTTTCTTACAAAGGACATTCCTGTGGAATAAGTGTAAATTGGTTCACTACACCTGGGATGTTAATCCCTGTGAAAGCACTGCTAAGGCTTGCTTAAATGGGATGTTTAATGCACAACAGAGTATTAATTTATAACTTCTTTGTCACTTTACTCTGTCTCCTTATGTAAATACCCAGGGTAAACCCAGAGTATCCTGGAAATTCACACTGCAATGTGATGTTCCATGGCATCCTGTTACTCAAGGAACAGGAGAGGCTGGTATATCTTACTATGGTACATAACAGAAGAGAGATTAGTATATTTGACATCTGAATTCTCTGATTCAGATATCCCTGAACTGTATAAGAGCTAGTTAAAATAAAAATTTTACAAACTGACTTTTTAAAAAAATTACTGCAGCCAAAGGATCAGCTGTTAACACAGGTGAACTTTTAGGATGTTAAAATCTAGTTTGAAATCTGGGCTTGATAGTTCAGGCTAACTTCTGTTTATTTCAGTTCCTTTCATTCTTAAGGTTCTGTTAAAGAGGAATTAGTTTGGTTCAGATAAATTTAAAAATAGCTTATGACCAATTTTTAAGAGTTTCTGAAAAGGTAGGATGGTTGTCTGTAATAGTAAAATGGTTTTCAGTGTGTTTATGATGAAGAAGGAAGACAGACAAAAATCAGTGAAAAGGGGGAAGGAATCCTGAGTATCTGAAAATAGAAATTCATTAAGAAAAGTTTCCAGAATGTCAATGAAAAAAGAATAATTGCCTGCTTTCAGAATGGCTGGGGTTTTATTTTTCTAAATGAATTATGAGAATGAATCAAAGGTAATGTATTTCTGCAGAAAGTTTGAATGAAATGAAATCAGGTGTTTTAATGAGAATTTTTAATAAAAATCAATTTTTAATCAAGTTTCCCTGCACTTCATGAATATTACTGATGCTAGCTTGTTTTCTGTAGCATTAGATATCCCATTCTGGAACTTAAGTGTTTAAGTACCCTTACTTTTATATCAGTCATAGGGAATTGGGGACTTGCCATCCAGATTACAGTCAAAGAAAACTATAGTTGTCCCAAGAATTGTGGAAATGTTATGTTTTATGTTGTTGCATGACATAGAAACACAATAAGCTAAACAGTGCTTGATAAATATTTGAAGTCTTGGACTGCCATCTATACAAATATGGGCTCATTATATAATCTTCTGGCAGAATATGTTGGCTAAGTCTCTGCAGAAGTAGAGTTTATGAACTTAGAAAGCAGTTTGTTTATGTGTGTATCTATTGGAGAGGTGCAGTAAAGATGGATTGGTCATGCTCCTGAGACATAATGCAGACGGTCCTGTCAGAGAAATCCTAGAAAGAGAAGTCAAGTTATCTACCTATCTATCTGTATGCATGTATGCAATGGATGGCTATAAATGCTTCAGAAGGGACAGGCGAGGAAGGAGAGGCGGTGGGGTGGCTCTGTACGTTAGGGAGTGTTTCGATTGTCTAGAGCTCAACAATTGTGATGATGATATGGTCAAGTGTTTATGGGTAAGGATGAGGGGGAAGGCCAACGAGGCAGATATCCTGC